GCAGTCGATTTGTCGTTTTGCTTCGAAAATCGCGTTCGTTCTCTCGTGGCCGGTTACGCTCGTTAATTACGAGCCAGCTAACGAGCTAACGCCGCTGAAAAGCCGCAGGGTGCTAGGAAATCGTTCCTGGCAACTTCTACGGAACCGAGTATTTCGAAACACCTATACGCTACCACCGAAATCAACCCCTAGACGCCCATGTTCGAGTCATGCTGGCCTAAAGACGATTAAAGATCGAAAGATCGTCGATCGTTCATCCGTTGGAACTCGGTGGGAAAAGGGAAGAAGAATTCTTCTTTTCGGAGAAGAATTGTCAGATGATAGGTGCACCGAGTACATTGGTCGAACGGTCACCTTGTACTCGTGCACTTCTGAGTGTTCCGAAGTCCGGCAAGTGGCCGGAATTCCAAATACGTATCGTTTAAGCTGATTCTTTCCAACTATCGCTGACTCGAGCGCGTGTTTTCGCCGAGATCGTTAGATGTTGGCCAAACGGTTGCCAAAAGTACGGAATTTGTACGCGACAGGACCCGATAGGGGCTAGTCAGCGTCCATTGGAGTCTGTACGTGGTTGGAATTCGCGGCGGCTCTCGACGGTAAAGTCGTCATCGTGGAATAAGAGGATCGCAAAGGTCGCGACGATTCCGAGTCGTGACGCGAAAAGGCACGTTCTTGAAACGTGGTATCGAGGTCGGCCTCTTGGTGAACGGGCTGCAGTTGCATGCACATCAACGACCGTATCGACGCGCATGTTTGCCTGTGTGTGGTCGCGAACGAAAAAGAAACAATCGGGCTACGGGACGAGAAACGAAATCAAAGGAGCTTTTTAACGTTATCGGAGGAACGCGATTCAGCCTTGTCCTAGGTTAACGATCAAAACTATTTCTTTGGTCGATCGGGAGCTATAGAGCTACTAAAACCAAAGCCAGAACTTAATAATTTATGAACTTCCACGGAGTGATACGCCTACGCGCGTTCTCCGTTTCCTAAACAAACAAGCTTAACGCGGCGTAAAAATGGGGAACAGTGATTTACGGTTGGAGAAACCTTGAACGGTCAATTGATTCCTCCATAGAACACACAGAGGAAAAGGTTTTTCTTTCACAAAAAAGCCTTTTATTAAAAAATTCGTATTTGGTAAATAAAACTCTGTCTCCACTTTGTGTACAGCGTAACGTGTTATATAATTGTAATAGTAAATTACGGTTAACGGGGTAGCCGGAGACGAGGCGGCGGGATTACGAAGAAGATAGATCTATCGGATCGATCGTTGTCAGCGCGGGTACGACGAACGTACAGGGAAAGGTTTCTTCGGCCGTTCCAATTTTACAACGACCCAAGTCAGCGCGCATAGCTTTTCCTAAGCAATGTCCGGCGAAACGGTTCGTTTTCAGTCTTGCGTCGCAGAACAATCGACGTTTGTCTTCTTGCGTGATCGTCTTCCACGGAGAAACGACGTCTTCTTCGTTGATATCGTTCGCTCGCGGAACAAAAATTTATTCGTTGAACGACGACGTTTTCTCGGCGCGTTTCAAACGGTGTACAGGGTGATTCTCGCGACCGGGACGGACTGCGTAAAACACTTTCTTCTCGTCGTAGCGAGAGCGACGGCGAAAACGAGTCGGAAAGGAAAACGGCTTGCTGGAAAAATTCTCAACGTCGACGATTTTCCAAAGTCCGACGCGATTCAACCCTCGGATGTCGGGGCCCGTGTTGAATCGAACACGAATTTGATTATTTTACATTTTAGGCGAGGGTCAAAACAGCAGAGACAAAATACGCGCGACGAGCTTGCCTCGAGAGAAATTTGCAACCGTTACGTTCCCATCTTCGCGTCGCGATAATCGACGAGATTACGAAATAAGGCGTGTCGCGATTATCGTACGGGTGCTCGTTGTACGTCGACCTGAAAAGGAATTTTCTCGCTCAGTAGGCCACGGCGGTACAAGGACTGCTTGAAAATGGTATCGCCTCGGTATTGTGGTGAGATAATTACACGACGTGCACGGAGGTTCGTGGAAAACGTCGAACGGGCTAATGACACCTCCGACAATGCACCAGGACCGTATGAAAATTCTCAAAGCTGCAACGATAGTTTCTATTCGTAGGAGGAACGCGGCTGCGAAAGGAAACTGTCGCGTTTCGATGAATAGCTGATCGCTGCGTCGCGATAACAATTGTTCGCCGATATACAGGCCGATTCCTCGAGTATTCGATGAAAATCTATATAGAAACCAAGGGACCAAAGATAGCTATCCTAAAAATTTAACAAATATTATGCGAATTGTTCGACGTCGTGATACGAGATCAATAAGAAAAAATGATCGAACAAGAGATGGCGTCGAGCCTTTAAATAAATTAGAATCAGACACGGACGCGCAAACGGTTAACGAAGATAGGAACGATCGAACACCGTACGACTGCCAATTCTGCGGGCGACGTTCGCGGAAAGTCTTTGCAGGAAATAAATTGGACGTAATTGGCAATCGTTGGGATATTCGTGGGACGTGTGCGCATAGGTAGAGGCCGATGATGAAACTTTCTCGTATCCGCGTATCGCAAGCTCTTTATTGACAAATAAATACGACAATAATGTATATACAAAAAAAAATAAATAATAGGAAAAACGTTTACCCGACGATGGTCAGTTCGCGTACCGTTTGTCTACGCGCGATCGGGAGAATGGGCGAGCGCGCGTACGTTACGGAAGTACGACGGAAATCGGTAAACGAACGGTTTTCGACGATCGCGAACGCACCCACGCTCGCCCGGGACAACGTAGAAGAGGCTGGGGGTTTGGGAGCAAAAGAAACAGACTTGCGTTCGTCGATTTTCTTTTTTTCCGATCGGGCTTAACGTAACAATACTAAGAATTACGGTAAGTTCTAACAGTCGAATATAACAGTACGTTCTATATTTTAAAATATCTCTCAGCTCTTGCTTGTCCTTATGCAAAATACGTTCAGCGTAGAAAAACTTTGCTACAAGATCCCTATAAAAATTAGTGGTTTCTCCGAGGAAGTCGGTCAGGTTTTCCCGTCTGAGAGCGCGTTCGCGCGGATAACTGAAACGCGCTGGAATCGCGGATACGGAAATGAAATTCGGGTGTTCCGGGAACAAAAACGAGTGTCTAGGGGGGTGGGGGGTGGGGGGTGGGGGGGAATGGTCGAGAGAATAAAGAAAGGAGACTACTGTCGGAGAGGAAAGCGCTGGATTTCTTTCTTCGTTCGATTAGTTTTCAGTTTTCTTCCTTTGTGCACCGCAACGCCATTATCGTTAACGCGAAAAATCTCGAAATCTAGGTACACGGAACTTCCTGATCGGTTTCGCGTTATCCGCTGATCAGACACAGAGCTTGAGCAATCTAATATTGAGCAGTCGTGCGCGAGGAATCGCTTTTCGGACAGAACTTAGGAGGCGGTCGAGGCAGTTTCGAACGCGAGAATAAATCGGGAACGAGACATACATACGTACATATGTATATAAAAAAAAGAAGAAAAAAAATGGAAAAACAATAATAGGAAAATATTTGGATCGATCGTCCGCGATCCGCGAGGATGTGTCGGAAGGAAGGGTGCCGTCGAATTTCGCCCGTTTCTCGAACGTATCTCTATCCTTAAAAACGTAAATGTTCGCGAGGCAATCTTAAGTTACCCGTGTATGTCGCGTCTATGACTAATGAATAGTACGTAAATTGCAGGCTTTAACGGTAAAAATAAACGACACGGAATAGGAACAAGAGGACAGTCCTCGGCGTTATACATATCGTATCTTAAACTACGTACGGCGTTCTCCGCAAGCTGAGACGCGCCCTATATGCTAAACGATCCCGGTAAACAAAAAACGGAAAGGAAATAAGGAAATACGAAAAGGTACCTTACAACGTCTAAACCGCTAACGGAGGGGAGGGGGGAGGGACAACTTTACAAAAAAGAAGTCTGTCTATCGTGAACGAACCGTCGAGTACGAAACAGCGTGCGCCGCGGCGATCGCTCGCGAGGACTCTTTCGAAAATTACCAGTGTGATTACAATGTGTCCCGTGCTCTCGAGAGGAATTCTCACGCGTGTATGCGAACGTCATGGATCAGGAGGAGGGCCTAAACAGGAATCGAGGAATGAATTTTCGTTGAAAGATTCGATACAAGGGAAGGCTTTGGGGTCACCGTCGTCTTCGAGGCAAATCTTGAAACGCGTGTCCCGAGGATCGTATCTCGTCGAATGATTTCGCGTCGATCTCTGCTTCGAAACGTCCAATCTTTACGTTAGTTCGCCTTAGTGATATCGATGCCGGTTCGACGAGTCACCCGTTGAAATTCTTGTCTCGCCGCGATCGCTAGCATCGTTTTCTTCTCACTCGGATATACAGGCATACATACGTATACGGGCACAGTCGTTCTCGTAACGCTACGCGTATTTCCTTCGTATCAGATTCTTTTCTCCTTAATATACATATACATATACATATACATATATATATATATATACATGTATATATATTATACGATCTCAAAACTATATAGGCCTAAGAAACTTCTTTTTATAGTCACGAGCCACTTTGTATGATATAAGAGAGTACTCGTCACTTTGTAGGAAACATTTTTCTGGTTTAATCTTACGACGCCTTACGCACGCGGAGCCTGTGTGCACGCGTATACAGGGTGCTCGCCGCGAAACAAAGGTAAACGATCGAACGTAAGTTTAAAAACTATTCTTCTCGTCGCGAGGGATGTTTTTTTCTTTTTGGAACATATCGAAATCCGTTCTACGCCGTCGAGACACCCTGTATCGCGCACCTACGCGCGTACAAATTATGCATATGGTCTAAGCGTTAACTGTTTATCCGTATTACACTAAATACTTGAAAATACGAGCGAGGCTTCACATTGTTTATAATACAAGAGTTGGCCACGCCGACCGTCGTCGGAACGGCTCGCGTTCCATCCGTTCCTTAACTCTTTGCAACACGGTGGCTGGCTACCTACGTAACATTCGTTCGAGCACAGTGGTCAACCTTCCACGGAGTACTGTTCGCTCATTTCGATTTGTTCTTTCAATTCGAAAAATATACTTCAAATCAACACGAGGGTCTTTTGTACTCGAGAATAGAAATAAACGCGTCTCGTCGCTATTCTTTTGTTCTTCCTCCGTGTGCGCAAAAGGTCTCGAAACTACCGAAATCGTCGAGGTTCGTCGATTTGCCCGCGGGCTTGGTCGACTGTCCGTCTCGCGGAAAAGGGCCCGCGAGAAAGACAGTCGACCAATCCTACGGATAAACCCGACTGGGGAACCTGTCTCGAATGCAGAAAGAAGAGCAATAGCCCGCGCAGGACTCCGCGGAACCGAGAACGAGTGTTAATTTCACTGCGAAGAACCAAAGAAGTTCCAGCCATGGGTCAAAGACCATAAGTACTCGAGCGATCGCCGCGGGTTCCTTTTAAATTTCGCCGACCGACTGATCGCTCGCGAGAATCCCTCGGCTTGGCACTTTGGCTCGACCGACGAGGACCGAGCGTAGTACATATAGAGGGTTCGAGTAGAGGAAAATCGCGATCGTTTCCGACATACGACGCGATCGGGGCCACGCTGTGTTCGCTTATGGCTTCTTTGTATCGTCTAATTTTCGATGCAATGTTTTTCATATGCAGAATTATCACATGCTAAGCCTGGTATTTCAGTCATCGCTGAAGTCGGGCGAGTTCGAATTCCGACGCGTTAAACTTCTCGTTCTCGCGTCCTGTGGGCGGTTCTCGTTCATCCGGAGGAACAGCCTCTCCGGTCAGCGAGAAAAATTGAACGAAAGTACACGCGACAGTAAGTCTCGAGGAGAAACAAAGGGGACATAACGGGTCTCGAGCGGATGCACTCGGCGAACGAGGAAAGAGAAAGAAAAAAAAAAATTAAAAAAAAACGTAGGATGGCCTTCGCGAAGAGATGAGAAAATATATGTATACACGTGTGTATGGAACTTCTACCATTTCGTTCGATTACGTTAAACTTACTCAGCAAACACTGGCGTTAATAAAATGGGATTTGCTAATCAGTCTTGTGTGTTAGAGGCTCGTTACGTCTAGACTCGACCGTGTACCGCGTTGCTGCTCGTGGCATCGTATTCTCTCCTCTCGCTTCTTGCTCGACGCTAAACTCCCGAGGCGACGACAAAACCTTTTGCGTTCGAACCTATTTCGTTCGTCGATCGACCTCGAGCTATAAACAGTCTACGTTCTCTCGTCTACTCGGAAGCATACTGAGATCATGCCTCCGAATGGTTCAATTTGTTTCCCCTATTCGCGTCACGGCGCGACACGAGACGCATCGATACGCCCGCGTCGACCACCGATCGAGTAATTTCTCTATCGCACGATCGGGTCGTATCTTTCGCGGGGAATGCGGTTTCTCGTGTCCGCGGCAAGGAAATCGGGCCGAATCGTTTCCTCGTTGGATGCCTTCGTCTCTCGGCGATCTCCGGCCACGCAAAAATGGCGGGGAAAATGTCGTGTACTCCTCCGGGAGGATACTCGATGCGGTCGATTACGCGTTCCCTCTCCAACGAATCGTCGTATAATCTAACCTATCGGTAATAGTAGTCGCGAGGAAGCATGAAATCGTGCAAAGTGGCAGCTAAGCGCGTTCCGCGTGTTCCTTGCACAGTATAAAATCGTCGTACCGCCCGGTAGCGAGGCGGCGCGCCTAATTGCCACTTGGATTTACCGCTTCGACGCAGTCAACGTAAGGTAGGAAGCCGACGTTTCCTTGTCACGGTTAGTTTCGAACGAAGAGAAACGCGTTTCTAAATTATTAATAATGTAACGGACACGCACACGCACCCACTCACACGTACATACACACGCACTCTAATTAACATGTACACACGCGTATAGCGATCTTTGTAAAACGAACGTCCTGATTATTTCTCAAGTTGTTATTCGTGGCTCTAATTATGTACAGATTGAAAATTCATTGTCTCGAGCGAAAAACTTAAATCCAACAGACTCCTATGTAACGCGAGAAAATTTATGGACATCGATTGCACATATTTTCCACGAAACCTTTCGTGTTGACGATTACGTTAAAATACGATTGTTCATTTAATCGGTATATATATTTACATCATTAAATCGATCAAATTTAGTATAAATTACTAAGAAACAGTATTTACGAGTTCTGTAACTTTAAGCATGGAATCTAACAAATGGAACCGACAAAGTAATGGGTTCCGTAAATGTAGCGTTAAAAAATAGTCGTTTCCGCTACGCGACGTCTCCGTTCGAACCTCACGTCCGGGAACTTAAAAAATAATCGTATCGGTCGCTTTAGAAAAATCACGCCCTGTCCGTACATGTGTAAAGCAAATCGTTAATTAACATACAAATCTTTGATGTGATTACGTACATGGTTACGTACACAATTGAAAACACGGCTGCTGCAACGGGCCAGAAATGGCGCGCGTTCTCGTCGAGTCGTCCTCGATTTGTCAGCAAACGTGCCGAATTTGCACCGTTCGTTCCGCTGCGCGCAATTTTCTTTCGTCTTAAAAAGGCAGTGTCTGCTGTAACGAGGCGCGAAGTAAAATTTCCGGCTTCTCGCGGATAGGCTGCTCTCGGAGAGAAAAATAAACGAACCACGGACGCGTAAAAAAAATCGAGCGTGCACGGTCGATCGCGTCCAAAGGCTTAAAAAATACAAGTTACACGATCGGAACACCTTCCCCGGGCTTCTCCAAAGCGCACTTTTGTCCAACGCACCGCTTGAGCGTAGAGAGAACGCAGTGGCAGGGATTTTTGGAACATATTTAGTCGCGTTTGCGGATCAGTCGCGCAGACACTGCCCCTTTCGAACGGTCGTTCGACTTTGGAATACCCTGAACACGTCCGCGTCAGACTTTCCCGAGTAACGTTACGCGTTCGAGGACTCGCACCGAGTCGCGGATGAGGGACGAGAGGAAAAACTCGAACCGCGAACGCGTTAAAACTACGTGGTCGCGCCACTGATGTACCCGTTGTTCAAAGTCTCCGGTTTGTTTACGTACTCGACCGTCGATTGTATCGAGTCTTTCTCGTTGTCGATGTCGATCGCGTCCATGGACGGGAAATCGACTCTGAGCGGCATCATCTCCCTCTTTTCGACGGTCGACGGTATCTCCGGGCTGCCGTTCTCGTAGTCCGGGCTGGCCAGCTTGGACGAGTTCGGGCTGCTCAGAAAGTTTCGTTTGTTCGTGTTCATCGGGCTGCTCCCGGACTTGTTGCCCATAGAGAGCTGGCTCAGGTTGCTCCTGGACACGCTTCTCGCGTCCATGAAGGGCGAGCTCCTCACCGACTTCAGGCTCTCCTCCGCGAACGGCAGGTTCAAAGCGTCCTTGCCCGAGGCTATCGAGTTCGCGGAGACTCCGTCGAAGTCGTCGAAACACGCCTTCAACGGCACGTTCGAGGAGTTCGCGTTGTGACAGTTGACGGTGGCCTTCGAGTTCTCGCCGTAGGAGTCCATCCCGTAGCGGAACTCGAAGATGTTTTTAATACTGCTGGGCTCGACGCTGGCGAAGTTGCCGAAATCTTGCCGCAACGGGGAGTCCTCCTCGCCTTCCGTCTCTTCTTCTTGCAGGTCTTGCAAAGTAGAGAGCTCCAAGTGTCTACGAACGCGAGTCGATGAAACGTAACTGCAACGATCGTGTGTCCGTCAGGCGACGGATATTGGTAATACTTACTGGTCGGTCAGCGGAGAGTTGGATCTGTTTTGACTTCGTGCCTCGATTCCCTCCGTGCTGTGATAGAAACTGACTAGTTGAAATTTTTCGGAATCGATGTGTTTTAGCAACATCATGGCGATGTCCATGAACGTGGGTCTCCTGGTCGCTTTGTGTCTCCAAGTGCGTTTCATCAGCTCGTACAGTAGCTCCGGACAATTCTCCGGTCGCTCCATCACTCCTCCTTCGATCACGTACCGCAAAACCTGTGAAGTAGCGAGGTTAGACTGGCTACGATCGACCTTGCCGGTGCTCGGGTCGTCCTCCTGCACACCTGGTCGTTGGCTAAACCCTGATAGGGCTGCGACGCGAACGTCACCATTTCCCACAACACGACCCCGTAGCTCCAGACGTCGGAATAGCTGCTGAACACGCCGTCCTTCAAGCTCTCGGGCGCCATCCACCTAACCGGCAAAAGACCCTTGCTCCCCTTTCGATAGTAATCTCTCTCGTACACGTCTCTGGTCATCCCAAAGTCTCCCACCTTCACGGTCAGATCCTCGGCGACCATGCAATTCCGCGCGGCCAGATCTCTGTGGACGAACTTCTTCGTCGCGAGATACGCCATACCGTCCGCGATCTCGATCGCCATTTGGAGTATTCTTTCCAATTTCGGGGGCGTGTTCGAGAAGTTCTCGCACGTTCCCGGTCTGTGGCTTCTCAGGTATCTCTTCAGATCGCCGTTCACCATCAGTTCCATGATGACCAACGTTGGTTGCCCGCGCGTCACGACACCCAACAACTTTACCACGTGATGAGCGTCGAAGCCCCTGGGGAAGAAAATCGAAGGGTCAAATAAAGAGAAAGACGTTGCGTAGTATCTTCCAACTTACTTCATGACCGACGCCTCGTTGAGAAACTCGATACGCTCCCGATTAGTGGCGTCCTTGTTCACCGTTTTCACGGCGCATTGGACTTCCGGTTTACCTTTCACGATATCCCTGGCTATGCCTTCGTACACCATCCCGAACGAACCGTTTCCCAGCGACTTGAGCATCTCGATCTTCTCTCTGGGCACCTCCCATTCGTCCAGGACGTACGGGGCGCTCATGTACTCCGGGTTCACCGTCGCTATCAGGGTCGCGTTCGCCACGCCCTTCATATACTTCCGTTTCAACACGTAGAACACCGTCAAACAGAGAACCAGCAGTATCACACAGAATAACAGCCAAAAGATCAACCAGAACATGCTCAGCGTGTTCCGTTCCTCGATGTAAAAGTACTTGACCTGCGTGTACGCGCCGTTACCAGCCAGACTGGTCGCTCTGACCTTCACGGAGTAGTTTCCGGCTTGTAGACCCTTCAGTACGTACGATTTCCCCGCTTTGGTAAAATCCCGCCTCGTGATGCAAATCACCGTCGGCTTGTACTGGAAGCAGGCAGGCAGGCGGAGCCTCAAAAATTCGTCAGATACTTTTTATGATTTGTATCGTCGTGATAAAAGGAAAGAAACTCACGTTTTGAATGTCCACCCTCTTGTACTCGATCTGGTAAGTGACTATCAGACCGTTGGGTTGCGGGGGTTCCTCCCACTGAAGCGTGACCATGGTCGTCAGGCTGTTGTTCTCGCGAGACGTGCTCATCTCGAACGTGTTCGGTGGAATATTGTCGGCGCTGTCCAACGCGAACGTACGGATGGTCCTCATACTCTTGGTGGAGCATTTCGTGTAGTTGTCGTTCATCTCTTGCGCCCTACACGCCTGCACCTCGATGTAGTACACGGCGAAGTGACGTACATTTTTTATCACGTAGGACAAGTTGGTGCTCGGCACGAGTTGCCCGAAAACCACGTAGGTGTTGTTCTCCATCTTGTTCACGATGGGCTGCGCATTCGAAAACGGTAAGAACCGCGGTTTTTCGGCAAGAACCGACCGAGAGAGAACCCGCTGTTGGATTATCTTACCAGATCGCGGTCCACCACCGTTTTACGGCCGGAAGAAACGAACGGCGCGTTCCCTAGGTCCCGCTTCGTCCTCGTTTTCCGCTTCACGTACACCTGGTTGTGCAAAGCGTCCTCGAAGGCGATCGCGCTCGAGGCTTCCTTCTCCCGTAGCGACTGATCGGTCTCGCGATTCGTGCACTCGCAAGTCTCGGCCTTCGAAGCGATGTTCTTCTTCTCTTCCTCCATCCGTTTCCTATCCTCCTCCTCCATCCGTTTCCGATCCTCGTCCTCCGCCGAGATCGCCTTCTTGTCCGTCAGCAGCATCGCTGCAACACACAATAATAGTTATAATAAAAAAACAACACCCGTTAGAGGCGAGACCGTTTCACGTACGTTCCTCGCAGTAGTTCCTCTGATCGATAAAGTTCGGATCGTCCGGTTCCCATCGGCTGGAGATTCGATAGTGGGTCAATCTTCCGTTCTTGTTCAGTGGCGGGGACCAGGACATGCCTAGCTCGTTGCTCGATGTGCTCCAGGTTTTGAGGAACCTCGGAGGCTCGGGTGCCTCGGGCATCGTTCTGAAATAGGTCAGGTTGCTCTGGGCACCGGACCTCTCGCTGGCTATCGTGTAAGTCTTCACGTAGTACGCGTACCGCGTGTACGGCTTCAACTGAGCCAGATAGTGGGCGTGCACCCTCTTCTCCTCTTGCCCGGGAAATTTCGAGCTCTCCATCAAGCTGGCGTTCCTGTTCGCCGCCACGTCGTCCACCTTCCAGCCGTCCCCGCCGCAGGCGTCCCTGCCGTCGTACATCGTCACGTTTCCATTCGGTGCCTCGATGAAGTACACCACGTAGCCCAACAGCGACCTGGCGTCGTGGTGGTTGAACGGCTCCCACTCTATCACCGCCCCCCATGGCGATTTTGTGCCCACCCTGGTCTTCAGTTCGGTCACGTTGCAGGCCACCTTGTCCCCGTTGCTGTTCGGCACCACATCGAAATCGGTGAACGGCCTCAGGCCCGCCTTCTCCCTCAACGTCTCGATCTTGTCCAGACACAGTTTCGGATTCAGATGGAAGAACACTTTGCCGGGCTCGCCCTTGGACAGGATCTTTATGTCGCGGTGCCAGCTCCAGTCCCACAGCTCCCGCAGGTTCTGGTTGTCCATCACCACCAGGGAGTTCTTGGAGCTGTCGATGTCGTTGCCGCGTATCAGCCGAAGATTCTTGAGAAAGTTCAACGATATCAGCTGAAAGCTACGCACGACCTTCAGATAGCCGTCGATCTCCTCTATGGTGCTCAGGCTGTCCTCCAGCTCCTTGACGATGTTCTTGCCGCCGCGTATCTGTATCTCCAGGTTCCCGGTTATGTGGGTGCAACCGCGCAGTGTCTGCGCTGAGGATATACTGTCCACGTTCAATCCGGCGCACTTCTTCTGACAGCGACCGTCGCACTTCTTGCACGACGGTTTACCATTTATCTCCTCGTCCGTGTATCCGGCCGGACACTCCATCGTGCAGCTCCCGTTGAACGGCTTGTACGGGAAGTTCTTCACGTTGTACGCCTCCCGTGGTTTCTCCATACGACGACACCTGTCCTCGTCGATGCACCGGTGGCTCATAAACTCTAGCAGCCCGTCCGGACACCTGTCCTTGCATTCGTTGTTCGCGGTCATCACGTTCTTGCACACCATACAGTCGCTCATCGTCGGCCCGAAACACGTACCCAGGCACGACGGGTGGCAACACTTGCCCGTCTCGTCGCAGGCGTTGTTCTCGCATTTCGGGTCGCAAACTGAAATCCGGGAAAACTCGATTTACCAGCCTGACCCTTTCTACGATCACGAGTTTCACCCGTACACGTTTTAATTTTCACAATGCGATTCTTGCCGAACGAGATCAACGTTGCTGATACAAACACGCGTGAATATCTCGTTGGCGGTTCCGAGTAAACGACTTTACACGCGTGCGACCAATTATTTCCCCTGTACGCCATTTACCCTCTGCGATCGATAGGGGAAGACAATACGCGAAATTTCGAGAGTTCTCGTGGACACTTTATTTTCTACGAACAAATAGGTTGTGATTTTTGCTTGCAACTCTATCTTCGAGATTGACACGTTTCTTCTCACGCGACAAAAATTTCCATATGCATTGTGTTTCGTAAGGGATCACGCGAGTTTGCTCACGCGAGACCAGCATGTATCGTTAGCACGGAGTCTCTCGCACGTTCGTGCGAAAGCAGTTCTGAATTTCGATGTAAATTCTGTCCAGTCGGGGTTATCGACTCGCGCCGACACTCGCGATTCTATTTATTTATTTGCAAACGGGTATTTAAAACGTTGATCTCCGTTAAATCCGACGCTGGTTAAAGGTTTCGATCGAAATTCATCTGGTGTGCTTTTTCCTTAACCCTACGCAACTCGATTGCAATATCTCTGTCGCGATCCCGTCCGAAACAGGTTTAAAAATCAATTCTCATGCGCGTTTCGTAAATGCGTAAACATTCGCCCGAAACCCTGGTCGTTTGCATTCAGCGCCGAATATCGTCGCTACGATACGAGACGAAACGGCGAAACGGCGTGTACGAGAAAATGGTCGAGAAACTTGTAAAGTACACCGAAATAGTTTAAGCGTGCAAATATGAGGGATCCGTAGCAACGATCCAAGTCGAAGGCGTAATTGAGCGTCGTGGCGCACCACGGTGGCCGACGTCACGCGCCGTCAATTCTTCGGTCTCTTCTCGCCTACGAACGGAACGAATCGAAACGGACAGACTCCATTTTCCGCAAGGCGAACGAACGATCGTAGAATTTCGGAGGGAAGATAACCGTTCGTGGCGTCCATTTGCTCTCGTCCCGCGGCAACGTGGAATTTACGCGCGGCGGTCAGGGAAGCCTCGAACTTTTCCCCTTTCGATCGAAAGCCGAGTATTGTAGGACGATAGGCGTCCAAGGACATTCCCATCGGCAATCGATGATCGCGGCGCGCGTTTGCGTACACAGAGAGTCGTTGAACTCGTCGGGCGAAGCCGCCTCCGAAACTCAAGATCCTCTCTGCGTTTCTGTTTCGCGGCGAATCTAGCGGCGTTCGCGTATACAAAATAATATTCGCGATTTTCTGATTCGGGGACGAACAGCGGAGAGTATTACTTTGTTGGCAGTGTTGCTGGTTCCAGCACAAAGTCTCGCCTGGATTGGTCGGTTTTTGAGGACAGTTTTTCTCACAGACCGGGCACCCGTTCCTCGGATTGTTGCCCTGTGAACAGAAAAGCGGAGGAAATTAACGTCTCGCGCGCGTTACCATTCGAAATTGTTCGCGTTGTCGGCGGCCCGGCACTTTGTTAGAGCATTCTATTAGCATCGAGCGTACGAGCGTTTGTCGATCGTTACGAACCCGTTCCGTGGAAAGAGGGCGTTGAAATTCGTTGACCGTGTTCGTCGCGAGAACCACGCGGGGTATTTACTTAGAAACGCGAGCGAGTTCTCACCTCGTTGTTATCCACGCACCGAGCTAAAGAATTCCTCCTGCGAAGGGGTACGGGAGACCGAGACCTCGGATCGATACGTCTGGCGCCTTCTATTACTTATTTTTATCGCCGTGCTGCTATTTCCCCGCCTTACCAAACTTTTATTTCCATACGCCTAGGGAAACGGAATATCTCGATACGCACGCATCAATCCTCTCGCAGCGGCTTTTGTTTCGGCTCGAGTTCCTCCACTCCAACATTCCACGACGTTTCTTTTGCACCCCAAATCTTTTACTTCGGAACGTCTTGCTCGTATTATACCAGTTATAGAAATAAATCGATGAAATACAATTCCATTCGGTTTCCAACGGTCACGCGAACGCACAGAAGCGGGGGGTGTTTGTGGGTCGGAGGATTAAAAATGACAAAGTAAAATGTCAGGGTTCGTCGAGGGTCGTCGTCCACGGGGAAACTGTTAATAACTTTTGACCCGATAAACGCCCGAAAGCGGCCAGTCAGCGTCCAGGTCAGTGTCTGTTGCGCAGATGTGGGAACAATCGATGAACCAGATGCAATAAAATTAGACTATCGGCGAGAAGCGACCGGTACGCAGAGATTTAGAGGGGCACTTGACCGAATAGCCCCCTAAGACGGAACAATTATTGTCGCGCGGAACGCCGCGCCGGGGGTATTAAAATGGCCGAGTTTCAGCACGACACGCAACGACCGGGCAGGGAAAAAATCGTCCACGCGTTCCTTTTTCCTCGAGTCCTAATTCTTGCCACGCGAACCCGCCACGAATCGGGGTCAAAAATCGCACGCGGATCGATAAATATACACCGAAATTGTTTATCTTACTATTTAAATGGGAAACTAGCGAAGACGATCGAATCAACTTGTTTCCATCGTACGTAATAGCGTTCGAGTTGGAGATTGGTATAAGTGGAAACAGCGTGTGATGGACAGGCGCGATGCAAATGGGTCAGAGGATCTTTCTCGAAGGAGATCCAGACGCCCCCGCGTTGAGAATTGAATTCGTTTCGAGATTGCAGGGAAATAAATTGCAAGAAACCCGGTTTTGCGATCCTTTTCGCGATTACGCAACGTCGAAAAGATCCGAACCTCGAACTTTCTAGCGCATCGGCCGGATACTAATTAACCTTCTGACCCGGTCACGTTTCATCGATCACTATCACGACCCATTCTCGCCGCGAGACGATCGCTCTTTTATTCTGGACGTAAAAAACCAACTATCGTGTCTTTCGAATGGAAGTGGTCTACTTGGCGAAAAGTTATCTGGAAATGATAATCTACGGATGGCGGATACGAAGCTATGTTTCGTAATGTGTTTTGGATTTGCAGCTAATCCCGATACGATAATTTGTGGAAACGGAGCTCGATATTCCGAGCAAAGCCGACAGGATAGATCTATCTCGCGAGAAGCGGCGTGATGCAACGAGTGTCAGTATCAGAGAGATAAGGAACAACGAACGTTCAATCAGGGATTAACGGGAACAGGAAAGGCAGGAATTTTTTCCGGTGCCAAAGTTAGGGACAAGTGAGTTTCCACGCGCCAGTTTAGACCTCGAAACTTGCTTGTCCGCGTTTCGAACAACAACGCTCCGAGTCGCAGTTTCTCTCCTCCGTCCGTATCATCATCCCCCGGGACCACAACGCGAACAATGTTAATGAAATCGGGAACGTCGCGAGATCCTATGCACAGAATTCTTATTCGAGGACACGAGTTTATATCGACGACGAAGCTTCGAAGCTCCCTGTTGGATAATCATCGAGAAACTATCGAGAGTCTGTACTCGGGGACTCGAATCTCTTTACCCGGAAACCGATCCCTCGAGAGTGGCCGATCATCCTGTACATCGGATTTATCAGCGACGTCGCCCTTTGTCGGGGACGCTTTTCGATGCGATTTCGTGGATCCGATAAAGGCCAAGTTGTGTCCGAATCTCGCTTTGGAAATCGTCCGTTAGGAAGCTACCAGACTTTTCGTACCCTGGAACGGCCATTGTACCGATCTCTCGAGCATTACAATACACAGATGTTTTACATTTACGTAGAACAGACATATACGTCCAATTAATTTTACCCTCGACTGTATTATATCAGTTTCCGTGGAAACTACTTTCTCCGCTATTTATAACCGTAAGGAAACATTGTGGTAATTTTGGCCAACGCGTATAACGATGCCCGTCTCGACCGTGGAACGTTTACACAGCGGCGTCCATTCTTGGAAACTTAACAACCGAACTGCTTAACGGAATAGTTAATGAGCGTATATCTATCAAACGCGGAATCTCGAAACGTTTCGTTGGCGAACTCGCGTACTGGCCACTGGTTCATTTACATTGCAAAACAGTGTACCATCTAACGAGCATGTTGAAATATTCACGATACCGAGGGAAACCAGAGGACCCATAATATCACTTTGCGCATACGACTTCCGTCTACGAAAAACATTCAAAGGCAAAATAATTTCCAGTTTACCTGGCCTGCTCGATCGATCGATCGATCCGATCTACCCCTCGAACGCGTAATCTATCGCTTTACTCTCGGTACGGACAATGCGTATACTTGAAAACACATTCGATCGTGGATGCCACGCGTCGCTTACGTGGATTCGCATATCGGACGCGATAACGAAAGCCGTGAACGCCAAGGACCAAGCTTTTAATATATTACGATACTTTTATATAAGTAAAACATTTCATCGTCGAGTGAAACGTTGAAACAAGAGGTCCGGATAAAATTCGTGGCGTAGGTTGCAGCAGCGCGTGGTCACTCTCGTCGCGAAACAAATTAAACAATTTCCAGTTGCTTAACAGTCGCGTGACAGAGACGGTGGCCTCGTCGGAGCGATAACCTCGCCGAATGAGATTTACTTTTTAAGAGGACAACTTGCACGGCTTTTAATCGCTCGACGAAACAATGTCACCACTCTTGGCCGAGTCTCCGGGTTTAACGCAGAAACGCGGTCGGATGGGCGTCACGCTCGCGCGAATAAACGGTTTCTTGGGTCGTGAAAGGTACTCTTGGTAACCGGCGAGCAATTGGTCTCGAATCGGGACCGGGGAAAGATCGCTGGTGGATCGTGGCGATAAATGGAAGGGATGCCCACTCGGCAACAAGCGTCTTCTTTCCGAATCTGATGACGATGACGATACAAGAAAAAAGATACCACGATCAAACGCACCCCTCTTCTTTCCTCCTGCTATTTCGTTTATTTCCTTCCTACATCAGCAAGCCGCCACGATATCTTGGACGATTGGTGAACCACAGTCTTTGGTTACAGGCTGACTAAATGAAAACGAAGCTACTAAACATTCCGTGGCAGTGAGTCAGAGGAACAGGGTGATGGTTATCCCGAAAGTACCGCGCGAGATTAACGGACACAATAACGATATTATTACTCCATTACCGAGAGGACGGAGCAAGTCGCGGTCGGGGTACGCCAGAAATAGTCCGGTCGAGAAACCGGTGCCAGAACACGATTCTGATTTATGCTGGAACCGGGCGATATTATTGCTTCCGAGCGAAGGGAAACCGTCTCGGGCCCGGAAGCAATTGGTCGTGGAGCGGAGCGATCGTACCCGCGACGTTCGACACGGAATCCGGCCGCGATACACACTGTCTCCTAAGTCTATGTACGCTCGGGAGCGTATTCTCGGACAAAGAACTCCGGCAGAAAATAGCGCGCGGTCGCTCGAAACTGCCGCGTCGGAGTCGCGGGGTCAGAAAGCGACCAACACGACGCAGCCGAACGCATTCCAGCAGCGGCGGCGTCGACACGCGACGCGATCATCCCGCTCCCCAGCCACCCCGCCGACTGGTTCTTACGATTATTTACTACACGGCCAGATGGGCACTGTTTACCAATCCCAGCCACCGACGAATCCAAATGGTACTTTTTACATCTTGATCCTTTGTGAACCTATCGACTTACCCTATCGTGTTCGGCTTTTCCGGCCTTGACGATTAAGTCCCAGTCGATCGTGTCCACGTAACAGAGAGCGGGGTTCATCTCGAACCGTACGGAGCCCCGCACGATCGTGGTGAGGCTGTGAAGACCGATCTCCTGCAGGTGCATCATCTCGAACGCGACCAACGCGTAGTTCTTCAAAAGGGACTGGCCGCGGATCACAGTCAGGTTTGGGAATAGCCGACCGATGCTCCGCAGACCTTTTACCCTGCAACGCAAACGAGAAACGAGAGTAAATCCTCTCTCGTGCTGGTCGCGGCCACGCGTGCTTTTACGAGGCTGTAAAAGAACGGGCCGGAAAGAAGCGGATAGCACGAGGAAGGTTTATAGCGAGCGGAAGTTCGTTGTCGAAACGACGCGCGTTGCTCGCTCGTTGGCACCTTCGATCGAGGAAAGTTTACGACTCGGGGACACCGAGATATATCTTCACCATCGTTTTCGTGCTTTCTTTCGAATTTACGAGCAGTTTGACCATCGTTTCAAGGACAGCTTTACCTGTAGAACATCAGATATCCGGTGATCTCTCTCAACTCCGGGAAAGAAATGTTGGCGTACTGTCCTGGCTCGGCGTTGTCGATCAGTACTATTTGTACGAAGCCCTCGACGATCCGACATCCCTTCAGTTTCATGAAATTACGCACGTCGTTTCTTATGTCTACGCTTTGGCACACTGCAACAGAAATCGGATTTTTTTCAGCGAGTCGCGCGGAGGAAAGCGTAATAGAAAAGAGATTCTCGAAAAATAATAACGGGCCGAGCACCGAACGGAAAAAGGCGACTCTGCTCGGCCGCAATCGCGCACCGATTACAGTCGATCTAGCGCTCGACCATTGGGAAAACGATACACGCTATTCAGAGGCAAGGTCGAGCAACCTTGTCTTAACCTGACTAGATCGTTAATATCCGTTTGCCTCCCCTTCTCCGCAAACCGGACCAATTCGATAGCCCAAGTTGCTCCGAATTGTTAACACTTTCACGGCGGGGCGTCGCGTACGCGTGACTTTGCCTACCGGCGATTATCGCGAACCGTCTGTCTCTCGTGTGTACACCTTGTTATTTTTGCGAACCTGATATACCTGATATACCGAACCTGTAAATTGCCCATTATTTTCAATGCGTCGGCAGGAACTCTGCATATTAGAAAAGTTAATAAGGCACGAGCCGGTAGATAAGACTGGCTGCGTGCCAACGCGAACAAACACAACAGATAATCGAGAATAACAGGACCACGGTGCTGTACAAAACGAAAACATGGAGCGCAAAGGCGTATATGCAACGAAAAATTGAACTTTCGATGTTCAACGGTAGATTTAAGTCGCGGAGGATTCGATTAGGCGGGACGACGAGCGGTGGCGTGGCGTCCACGTGCTAGACGTCGGGATCGCTGCAGCGTCGGCATTGTCACTTTAACAGTCGGGCGGTTAAGCGTCGACACGACGCGGTCGATTGTAACGGGCCGTGCTAAAAATACGCTGCATCGGCTGGCATTGGAATAACCACGAAGGCGGGCAAGTTGATCTAGGCACGCGGTCACCTCGCGTCGGCTCTCCACTCGGCTATTACACATTTAGATCGCCGCCGGTGACTTTTAACCTACGGTTAACTGTCCGCGGGTCTTCTCGCTTCCCAATCGCGCGCTTCCTCGGTAAACAAAACACCGTGCTGCCGTGCAACGATCAAACGTCGTAAATAAACCCGGAGTTAGCGTATATACTATAAACAAGATTCCTCGACGACATCGAAAAGTCAATCACCGTATTGTAGGAGGCTAACGGGCCTCTTTAGCCTGGTGTACGAATTACGAGGTCTCGAGAGACCCAAATATCCGTGTGTGTGTGTGTGTGGCAGAGTTCATTTCCTCACGAAAGACGAGACTTTGGAGGAAAAGGAAGACACCGCACACTGGCTCGATCGAAGGCGATCATCGTGGGTCGAGTTACCATCGAACGAGCTCAGCTGTTTGGTTCGAGGAATCGCGTTACGTTAATTGCGATCTCGCGGTAGGGTTACGCCGCGTTTGCAAGAATCGCAAGCATCGCGCTGCGATTTGGAACGCGAGCTGTTTTCTCCCGATCGGATACCAGCGGAAACCGTTCGAACCGGGTATCTTATCAAGCAGTCTACGCAGAAGCGATATCTATTCTACGCGGACACCGTGGAATCGTAATACGAGAGAAACTCGGTTCGCGCTGAACTCGTGCGCTGTCGCGATAACGAATCGCTAACAATAAAAAAGGAGTAAAACAGTTGGAACGATTCCACGTCGCGGGGTTCATCGGTTTCTCGGCGACAGCGTAATTCGGTACGATAGTCTTCCGTTGCGTTATCGTTACGTGATCCGCGACAGGCATCGATAACCGAACGCGTAATCTAAAATTCCTAACCGCCTCTCGAGTTTCGCTAAACATCCCCGCGATCGATTCTTTGAGGCCAGATGCCTTGGTCGGATGTTACGTTTGCGCGAATACCTGTACGGAAATCGATTTATTAAAAATCGTCCAAACCGTTCGAGGCATCAGGAATTTACATAAATGTTAATTATCACCGAGCCGGACGAACCTCGTCCCTTTGCAGTTAATTTAATGCTCTCGATCGCTGCCGATTCTTGCGACTCGAAACGGGCCCGACAGTTTCACCATCATGAATCGCCAATGTCCCGCTCGGGCTTGCCGTAATCGGAACAATTTTTATAACGAATAATAACAGACCACGAGCCGAAATTGCCAACGATATTATCGAGTAATTACACCCCGTAAAATTCGACAAGATCGGGCGCCCCGCTTGTGCCCTGGCCGCGCCACGGTACGCACGTGCAATCAGCAATAAACTGCGTCTACGACAACCCGTACAACGCGCGCACCTTGGGATACTTAACGGGGTATTCTAGCGTGAATCTTCGAAGAAACGAAATTTTGTAAAATTTCATTATCTTAGCAGACTTTCGAGAATGCAAGCGATACGACGGAGGAATCGTATTTTGCATCGGTCGGTCTTAATCCCGTGGCGATCCGCGCACCGTGGCTCGCATAGAATTAACCTCTCGACGGTGGTTAGTGCGACCCCGTGGCAAGAAACTCGTTAGGTTTCGCAGAATCGATGACCTCTTCGGGGCTATCGAAGGAGGATCGCGAAGCCGTGGAACAGCGCAAACCCAGCCTCGATCGGCGTCCGCGAATCAAGTCATCGACGGTACAACTCTGTCGAGCAGCGAGCAAGCCGCGACGCGATACTGGATTCGCGGATAATATTTGGTTTCCTCAATAACAGGCGAACCCAAGCTTTCTGTGCCCCGTTACCACTCGAGCGTTATCGAAATACGCCGGGATTATAATATACGGGTCTCGTCGAGGAGTCGTCGTTGGCGCGCGTATCGCCGGTAAAGAAAGGTCTCGATTCTCTTCGGACGTGGCCGCAGCAAAGTTGCAACGTGGGGTCAGCGATGCATGAAGGTTCGTCGCGGTGTGCGGTCTCGCGGGATGGTAGAGAAAGGAGGAATTCGCCGTGTCGGCTGCTCCCGGCTAAGAGATGTTCGGATATTTACGTTCTCTTTAATACACCGAGTCGGTCGGTTCAATTGACGGCGTCGCTAACAGGTATAAAAGCCACTCGAGAAGGCACGTAGGCCCCGGCGAGAGTCCATCCGGTTGATCGAACGACCACAGCGCGTCCGTTCGGAGGGGATCGCAGCCAGTTTCAAAAGTTGCAACGGACACCGCATTCCAGACGGTCTCCTCAAGGTTATTAGCCATTCACCCAAAGGCCGAGGTACTCGGATGACCTATACCGGTCCCCTCGTACACGCGCGCACCTACCCGTCGCGACTTCCACGCCCGAGATCCACGACATTCCTTACGACGATGCACTCCGGAGCGTCTACAGGCTCCCACAGTTCGCCCATCTTCCAACACACCACGCGATTCGGCCAAAAACAGTACACTACCCGCTACAGCGCGCATCGTCCTCCTCATCCATCCACCCACCCATGCAATATCTGTAACTCGTAATCAGGGATCGAGACTTTTCCAATGAGAATAACACCAGATTTATGGAAACTCGTCGCGTTGACCATACAATGATGTTTTCCTTTTAATCGGGATGCACATTGGTATCGGTACAACGATCTAATTCTATGGCGCGGGTTTCCTCGAGAATGCGAGGAAGGAAATTGATTCGTCGCCGACACGTTTCACCGATAAAATTGAAAAGCGTTCGTGTGTGTGTGTCTAGCGATCCTTCACCAGCCAACAAAACCCCGTTCCACTCGATGCGACGAACGGGCGCCGGCTAATCCTGCCAAGAGATTCCAGATTTATCCGCGGGACCGATATACCGATTATACATCCAGCGGACGCGTGTTCGCAGAACCGCAAACCCGTCCGCCAATATTCGCTACAGCGCATCGCCCCCTCGACGGTTTGGCCGCGTTTTACGTGGATTCGGTGTCGTCCTCCGTGTCGAGGTTGCTCGACTAGCCGGCTACGACGACGGGAAACCGCGCGTCCAACGTTCGCGAATAACAAATTGCCTTCGTCGATGCACACGAACGCGGTCGATCATTTCTTTCGCATTTTTTCCCCCCTCGAACGTACGGTACAATTTCTTGGACGCTGCCAACTCCGATTTTAAGAAAAATCGACAGGAGAGAGATAGGTGGCTAAATTTTTTGGTGAAAAAAGAAATTTGAAATCGTTCTAGAAAAATTATTTTTAGTCGCATTTTTGGTTAATAAACATACTCCTCGAAATTCTACGTAGTTTCGGTTAGGCACAGAAATTAAGGGATCGAATTGCATTTTTTCTGGAAAAAGAGAAGTCTTGGGGTAGGTACCGGGTGGGGAAGGAGCCGCCTCGAAACTCGGATCTCCACCGGAATTTACGAGATCGTAAAACGAACGCGATCTCGCGTTCCATACCGGATGTTCGTCGACAAACAGGGACAGAATACGCGCGACGGGATCCGCAATAAAATTGTTGTCCGTGTGCAGGATGGACGAACGAATTTCCTTGCCTGGGCCGTGACGAAAAAAATTGTTGATTCTCCGTTCGAAGCCGACGGATAAAAAGATACAATGTCTGGCATCGTTGGCGCGTCTCGTTAAATTAAAGCTATTCGTAGGAAGCGTTAACGTGCTATCCGCGGCGATTGCTCGTTTATTTTTTTCACCACGATACATAAATTAAACATCGAAATAACTGTGCACGGTTGTTTTCTAGCTTCCTTCGCCTCGAGTCGCGTGACGGTTTCGCGTTCGCGATCGTCTTGATTCGAGCGGCTGGTAACATCGGCAAGTGGCCGGACGGAACGGTCTCGAAAAACGGGCGTCGCGATCGTATAAATTAGCCGTCCAACGTTTGTCATTCTCGTGCTTTCGGCTCGTTAAACCGTGACGGGGGCCAGAAAACAGCGTCGGGGCGCCGCACGAAAGCCGGTCGCGGGCGGTGTCTATCGTGCGGACTTTGCACGAATCTCGGAGCCTCCCCGTCGCCAAGGCAGCACGTACAGCGATTAAGTAGGCTGGCTTGCCGCTCGTGTTTCCACGTGTGATCCACTATCTCTCTCTCTCTCTCTCTTTCTCTCTGTACGTATTTTCAGACCATACGATGACAAACGGCTCGATAAAGCCGTTAAAACCCACGTCGTTTCCGGGATACCGGGGAAAAAGAATCGACCAAGATTTCAAGAATCAACTACGGTGGTATTCAGATTATCAGAATACTCTCGACGTCGATCGTTCGCCATAGAAACGTTCAGAAGCAAGAGACGAAATGTATTCTTTTGGTCCGCGTTTTGAGCATTCTCCAATTTCGTAAACGTACAAGAGCAGCGAAGCAGGTTTCGCGTAGACGCGCCGTAACGATTCTTCTTCGCTACTTAGTAATCGGAAACGGAAGCAACGAACTCGAGCCAAAATGCTCGACCGGACATATCCGTTGAATCATCGCGCACCGACGCGACGTCTCCGGATGCGTGCTCCGCGCGGAACGACCGGAATTATTTTACTTTCGAGCCCGTTCGAATTATCGTGCAGGCCGGTAGTTTCGTCGATCTCGAAAGACGTTGGATAACGAATGGCTCGGAAAACTCGAAGGGGAGAAAGCTATGCTGGACCAGACGGATCGTAGACGCGAAAAGTACCGTGGTTCGTATTTTAAAACGTTGTTTCTGTTGGAAACCCAATGAAACGGTACGAAAGAGTAACCATAGGATGCGTGATCGCCCGCCAACGTTTGCTCGTACGTGCAACGTGTTGTCGCCGTTATTAATATTATTATTGCGGTCGATCGATACACCCGGAGTGAAAAGCGGAGACGAATGGCCCGGGTATTAGCGAGAAATTAAATCGATTCGGCGGAGTGCACGAGGCACATATTAATCGGATTTCTGTGCTTGCGCGCTCAACCGACACACCGCAAACGGGGTCATCGACCTTGGTCAGTCGATGACCGCGTAGGGCCAGGTCCCCTGTTGTGCGTTCCGACGATACCGGAACTGCTCATCCAGACGATGCTCCTTCGTCCTTCTCCGGTGGTATCCGCCAGCCGATTTTCCGTCGAACGCGTGACCGATACTTTCGCCCAGTTCCGTTGCCCTACCCTCCTCCTGCCATCTCGCTTATTTCTTCCTACAACAGTCCAGAGTAATTTGACCCTACCGGCACCAACGGTTACCGTAGTATGGTTTTCGAGGCGTACGGTTGTTGTAGCCCGCGTCATCGGGCCGAGTCGCGAAACGGAGCGGAATCGTAATTAGCGACTGCTTGTCGGATGGAAAATTTACGAGGGGACGGAGAGAGTCGCGAGAGAAAACGGGCCAGCAGCGTAGGGCAATTATCTTTATTAATTATTTCGCGGGTAAATCCTGCGCCGGGATCCGTTCGCGTCGCACTCCACTTTGGGAGCCGAGGTTTGTTTTGCTCGTACGCGGCCACGTCGGGAGTCAACGTCCCGAGACTCGAGTGGAATACCCGAGAGCCTCGCGATCGTGGCTGAAACGAGACAGGAGGACCGCTGGAAACGAGGAAATTTCCAAACTCTGCCACTTCGAACCGCTACAGAGAAGATGGCTCGAGCAGCGTGATAGATTTCGAGTTTCGAGCGTCGATGGAGAGTCGTGGATTCGACCAGACACGCTGAGAAACGTTAGGCTTCGGAGCAATTGGCGATCATTGGTGATCGTCGGGACACGAAAGCGAGGGAATGTTGGCCGTGGGACTACGCCGCTCGCGACAAAGACGTCCTGAATTCATTCCGAGCCGCATTCCAGAACGTGAATCGCTTACCGACGTTTCGAGAGGGCTGGTTGCCTACCGGTTGCCCAGCCACAGGTTTCGCCGGCCGATCGACCAGACAAACCGCGTTCAACCTTTCGTATCCAACCCTCTTCTTCTCGCCTCGCGCTCCTCCCAGACCGGTGATTGCGTTTCTCCCAATTTCCCGCGGTAATTTCGAGACTTTTAATCAATCAGACCCGACCTCGCGGTCGATTGACGTATTAAGCTCGCCTCGAACGGGCTGCGGTGCTGTTAATTGTTTACTGGCTGTCACGACGATCGGGGCCTCGGCCCCCTCGTTTAATGCGACAAACCGTTCACGAGAAATCGAAAGAAACGTTTAAATTGATTTAAAGAGTTCCGTATGTGCTGTCGAACAAAGCTCCCCAGCATCGTGCACGTTTTCGAGAGAAAGCTTGCTACAGTGTCGAGAAATTCGTCACCTTCCACGAATGCGCGGAGTCTCGCAGAAACAAGGCAGCCAGGAATTAAGCCTGCCGAGTCGAAATCACCGAGCATTAGAGCAAGAACGTATATTTAGCGTCGGGACAGCGGGACAGCGGTGCTTGGGTATGCGTAAATAACCGAGGTTTAATGCGATCCCGAGCGACAGTACTCCTTCTCTTTCTACTTTTCGAGGTACTAAACGCCGCCAAGTATTATAATCTCGACGAATCCTGGAAAATAAATAACCCTTGGCGCTCGCTGACTATGGTACCGAGTCCTGTCCTAAAATCCTTTGACATTTTGTCGGATCGCGTCCAACAGGAATCGTGCAATTTCAATATTTTCCAATACGCAGGAGAATCGTTTAATGCGCGTAGTAGAGTCGACCCCCGTGCAACACGGTTTTCATTTGCTGTCGTACGCGGCGCTTTGCAATCCCGACCGGAAACAACATCAAAGCGGTGAAAGCCATTGCACTCGGCGACTGAATCGACGTCCTCGCAAGACCGCAAAGGAATCGAGCAGCCTCTTCGATACGATTACCGTTAATTGAACGTAATTAATTAATCGAACTTGTTTGGCAACTCGAGTCCGTTCGGAAATCGGGCCAATCGAGAGGCAGAATTCCCAGGATCGGCTAACGAGCCGTTCGCCCTCAATAGGATCGACGTGTCTCGAATCGATCTCTCAATGGGTCGCGCCGCCGCGCCGCTACGTTTTCCAGACGAAACGGAACGCGTCTGGCATTATTAATTCCTCGCGCTCGCCAAAAAATCGCGGAACAAAGAACGCCGGTGTCTCTTTAAGAAAAACGATCGCAAAAAAAAAAAGAAAGAAAGAATCGCGTCGACTCGCTTCGTCGTTGGTTTCTCCCGAAACAGAAAATAGAAATAATATCCGGACCGATACTCGCCGGTAATGAATTTGCGAGTAAATGCTCCTGTTTTGCGCGCGAATACTCGACTTCCGGCGGAAGCGTTGCGGCGGCAACGCGCCGCGGCGGAGTTTTGCATGGCGTTTTAATTTCATTTTCCACCGTGACGTATGCTTCCGGCGCACGCTTTACAATCGGAATGAACAATTAGAACTTCGCGTCGTCTGCCAGTGAACGTGTTAAATCGAAAGATACGTATGTATTTGATATACCGTTCGTTGAATTCATTTTAATATCCACCGAACCACGAGCGTAAAAAACGAGAATAGGTTTCTCTGACTTAAGGAATTCTTTAATAAAAATACTTTGAGGGCAGAGTCGACCGAAAACGGGGAAAGAACTTGGGGCGGCAAGTTCACTGTGCCGACGGCGTCGTCGCTGGCTGAAGTATCGAGAGGGAAAGTGCAAGCCCGGCGTCGCGACGCGGCGCTCACGAATGGTGTCAATTAGATAATCACCGATCGCTGTTTCCTTCGTACGCGATAAAATCGCGACTTTCTTCCGAAAATACAAACAAGATGGAGTGCGTCGTCGATGCTCGGATAACTGTATGGATTTTGCTTCGAACAAAGGTCCGAGCAGACTTTGCCACCAAGTATTGCGCGCTGTTCGTGTCGACGGGGATATGAAACGAACCGCCCCCGGGATTCTAATTTCCTTTTACGAGCAACCAACATTACGATCCGTTCCGCGAGCGTTCTCTGCTCAAAAGTAATTTATACTGATTAAAGCTTTCGGGCAGATACGAGGAGATACCCGGTACCCCGTGGAAAACCGGACTTGAATTTTCCCAACCCGAAACACCGAACATGATGTGCATTCGACTCGTTATATGCAGAAAGTACGTCAAAAAACGTGTATAATAACAGTTCGTACAATGCTTCGTTTGAACGATAATTGAATACGATCTGTTCGTCACTGGCTACTTCTACTTCTACTGTTGTCCAAGTGGTTCTTCGCCATCTTGCTCCACGGACTCCTTTTAGCAGTTTACTGGAGAGTTTATGATATAAATAGGATAGAATAAGACAGAGGAGGATCCACGTTCAATTTTAACGGGCTTTCGAGTTGAAATGATCGTTAAAAGAGTTCCGTAGCGTTTCCAAGGTGCATCGTCGTTCAAAAAATAATAATAGAACTTTGAATTTGAAGGCAACGTGCATTGCGTGCGATCAGTGGTTTTCAACAATGAAAAGGGATCGGGGTGAACCACGCGTATCGGTAAGCACGCCGTGCTAATGACAAAGTTGTTACGGCCGTATCGCGACACGCGTACGAGGTTTTTTCCGTTTCATTCTAAAACGGGCAATGGGTCTTGTGTCTACCAGCTACGATAACCGGTAGAGTTCGAATTCGCTCCCACGTACCGATGAGTTCGTGCAACCGTTTAGGCGTTCGACGAAACCAAGAGTCCCGGAACTCCAAATAAAGAAAGTTCCCTGGACGTTTAAAGCAAACCTTAGGCTACTTGTTAATTTACAGGGTTTGGAATTTACGAAACGACGTCGAGACAAGCGCATGATATTCCGAGCGTCGTGGTTTTAATCGTACGTGCAATTAGCAAACGGATAAAGAATTTCGTTCCTTGGTGTCCGAAACTCTACCAGTGTACGGTGTTACGGTGAAATCGGTATCGGGGTCCTCGAGCGTAATTAATAAAAGGACTCACCTCCCACTTCTTTGGGGGATCCGCTCGACTTCCTGTTCTGATGGTTCGCGAGAGCGGGGAACACAAGTATTAACAAGAACAAAATCGTCCACGTGGGCGTTTGCTTCTGCATCGTCCAGCGAAACGATCTCTCGATCCGCGAGTTCCACCGCACGACGCTCGAGGCGCAGGTCTTGGAAGCGGAAGTCGCGGTCTCGAGACTCTCGCGGCCGAACGTCCTAGACAAAGTCATGGCTTTGTGGCGCACGTGCTCGGTTTTGGCGGTCGCGATTCGATGGTCCAGCGGCTCTTGGTGTCCACGAAGACGGTCGCAGAGATCGCAGCGGGTGGTCCGACACGGCCAGGACGACGTGGACGACGACGACGAGAGAAAATAGAACGGGTCGGTATGCTCGAGGGTGCCACGACCCGACGGACAATGGCAGTGGCAGGTGGTGGTGGAGGTGGTGGTGGTGGTGGTGGTGGTGGTGGTGGTGGTGGCGGTGGTGGTGGTGGTGGTGGTGGTAACGACGACGTCGTTGCAATCCGTGGTAGCCGCGGTGTCGATGTTTCCACGATGGACGGAGGTTCGCTTAGATACCTCCGAAGGTGGTGCGCCAACCGATTCCTCCTCGGACGCTGCGCTATCGAAGCTGCGCGTGCACCACGCTGACTTCATCCTTCCGTTCCCGGGGAACGAGAGATTCCTCTCGAGACGGTCGCGGCCTTGCCAGCGAGGCCGGAAAACCCCCTGGAACCCTCGTCCTACGGATGTCCTCCGATTTAGTCAGACCGGGGAGCAATCCTTTCCCGCTCCCTTGGTCATCTTCGTCAAGCACGAGAGTCTTCCGTCAGGTATTCTGTCAAAGCTTAGGAATCGAATCAGTGCGTCGACTCGTTCGGAAAAGAATTGAGAATGCCGCGACTCAGGACGCGCACCGATCCAATGTTCGCTCGATCGTCGAACGAAACATCTCTCCGCGGTTTGGTTCGCGATCTCGAGCTCCGACCTGTCCGGAGATCGAACGGAATATCAGCCTGTAACGCTGGAAAGACAATACCGATGGGTCGGTAGGTCAAACGACGCCATCGAGCGCGTACTGCCCCTCGTGATCTCCGTCGTCCCTCGAACTCGACGCGACGACGATCGATCCGCTCTCGACGAATATTAAGTCCTGCCGTGCGCGCGGTCCGTGAAATTTCTTCTGCCTCGTCTTCTCCTTCTTCTTCTGGTTTCGGTCATTCCACGTCGCGCGATTCACGCTCGCGGCGCGTCTTCGTCCCGGCGACGAGGATCCACGAAATTCCGGCACGTCGCGTTCCTTCCGCCGTCTCTGTTTCCTCTCTCTTTATTTCCTCCCGCGATACGATCCAACGCCAGGCGAACGAAAATGATCCCGGACCTCTCGTTTCCTCGCTAGCGGTATCCGAGTCGCTCGCTGCTCTGCAATCAGAAAATCGTGCCAACGTGAATGATACGAGCATGATTTCTCGTTTATGCTCCGAATCGTACGTCTAAGCAAACACAGGGAAGTAAATGTTTTCATGAATTTTATTAACGAAAGCGCGCCTCAACCACAAAAAAAAAACTGTCCATGCTATTCGATAAATCGTTTGGTACGATTATTCGTCGGTCGCGCCGAAATGTTTTGGCAGAATCGTACTCTCCTTTCTCCTGTTTCCTTTCGATTCGCTCCGGCGTTTCGCAATTTCAACGCACCAGGAGACTGCTGGAACGTAAAACGTGGCGACGACGATCGTTGCAAGAACGAAGGATAATGTTACTTTCGACATTCGCGCGATCCGACGATCGTTTTTCAGCCAAAATAACGCGAACGAACCGGTCAAACTTCTTAAACGGAATCATCCAACTTTCCGGAGTTTGAAAATAAAATCGAAAAGTTAATTACACGCTCGAAAGTTCCATAATTTTCTGAATTTCCCAGTCGTGGATCGTCTTCCATTGTCGGCGGAATACATAACTAATCGAGATAGCCGCGCATTTGGACAACAAAGGGAGGTAAAATTCATTCGATGCACGAATATCTTCTCGCGATGTCTATTGTTCGACTCGGATTCCAATTATCTCGAAGAAATGGGGCGGGACTTTCTCGATCCTTCGGGTTTCCTCCGTTAGATGCACGCGACGTCTTCTACGCGTACAGACTCGTCGGTTCATTCCCCGCTTTATAGTCGAAGACGATCTAATATTAGTTCCACCGACCCGTGAAATCGTTACTCTGTTTTCGCATCGCCGTTCCTTCTATTCCGTGGCAGCGACGTTTCCGTTCGGCGTCGGTAGACCCGTAATTAATAACACTGTCCAACAAACTGCGACAGTTCCGCGTCCTAAACACGAACGTTTGCGTAAAAGCACCGTTCCGGATAAAAATTAGTTTACGATAGCCACGGTACGGCTCATCGGCGAACGGCTCAAGTTCGCGGCTGACCAGCGCCGCATATTCTACTTTCCGGCAAGCTTGGACTTGCGCGGAATGTCCGTTCTCCGGCCACGGTTCTCACGGCCTCGCATAATTGTTTGCAACCGGTCGTACGAAACGAACGAGCACAAACGCCGTTCCGTAAATTAGATCGTGGATAATAGATGAACGTAGCAGGATGCACGGTGTTCAAAAATACCGATAACCTGGCGAAACTTGAATCTCTCCGAGCAACACAGTTCAAACGAATTACAATACCGCAGGATAAGTTTAATTGGCGTATTCCCCGGTTAAGTACCTTTGAAACGGGGTGGCCGTCTATCTGTACAGGCGCGTGCTTGCGAAACACCGTTCTGGTTACCACGACACCTAGGGTTAAGTAGCGTGATTCGATTGAAGGTGCATTTTTCTTCGTAACGAGCGATAATTGATTTATTGCGCATGAAGGGGTCAGCCGAGCCGTATACGCGGCAGCACGCGCGCTGGTACCGACCGATCCGCTCGATTAAATCTCCGTTGGTCCCGTCCTCTCCGCCTCGGCGACGCTCTTCTTACCTCCCAAGCGACAACGAGACGATGACCGGTGACGACCGATCCCGCTCGTCCGAACCGCCAATTGTCGGCGTCGTCATCGCGATACGAGCCTCCACGAAACCTTCCAATTAAAATCGATCAACGTCGATCGACTCGGGCGCCGAATTTTTCGACGCGGTTGCCGGCTAGCCGTAAGCACAATTTTACATTTCACTCTGCCTCTTCAGGATTCTAATTTCGGTAACGCGCGACCTGGACGAGAACTCGCCAAAAGATAGAGAATCTATCACGGGAGTCTGGACGGTTTATCAGAACGCTCGAGATCGCTCAGCTCACCAACGGAACGCGGGTGAAATATTCATGCGAGATGTAAATAAACGTATCTCGACGTGTCCACGATTCCACGTATGGCGTACTCGCCGTTTATCGACGCGATCGAAGAATAAGTTTTGCACGTTTCGATGGAGATCCGAGTTCGTTGTAACAGTTACATATCAAAGTTGCACGTTTCGTGAGACCGGGAATGATTTATGGACGAGGGGACGTATCGTGGAAATTTTCCGAGAGGATCGGAGACGAGCTTCCGGAGTCACGACTTTTCCACGATACGTGAGAAATGCACGAAAACCTAGGTTCATCGTAAACCTGGGCAAACTTACGTCGGAGGGTGGCAACCGTATTATAATTTAAATGTTATTCGTATGCAGATTGCGGCGTGTTGGTATAGAAATTGGAATTTGAACGTTCGAGCGTTCTGGTAACATTATCACGGTCGGCGGCTCCGTTTTCTCCGTCTCTGGCGATTCGCGAAAACGCAAGAGGAAGAGTGCGCGAGCTAGCGATCGAGCAGAGAGAGGGACGGATAAACAGAGAAGAGACTGTCGACGCCGGCGAACCGGCAAACGCGAGTATAAACACTTCATAGTAGAACGTAGCCGCGTGGTGAATGAAGCCTGCTGCCGCCGCCTGCTGCCCTCCCCCTTTCATCCCGTGCATCCTTTGCTCCTCACCGCAACCCCCCACCCCCACCGTTCGAACTCCCTCCCGACCCCCCACCCAACCCCCCACCAACGGCGTAACCACCGTCGCGCTCCCTCCCTTTTCGCCCGCCGCTCCATTGTCCGATCCATGTATCCATCTTCCTCGATCCTCGATTCGCTCGATGTACATATTCGCGCACGCAACGCAGCCAGGTACACACGTGGACTGACCGTGTGCCGACGTGGATCAAACGCACGCCATACCTCTCGTTTTTCACCAGACATTTTATACCGAAATACCAATAGAATTTTATTACAATACTCTTCATCGTCGAGTCTACCATCCTGCTCTAGCATACAGAGGAGTACACGTGGCGTGGAGTTTTCTTCCTCGTTCAAAGACTATGTTTCGACGGTATAAACGCTGTAAAAGATTCGTAGCTTCCAGCAATCTCGGTGTTACACGCGTTATATTTGAATTTGAATAAAATCCGTGACATCGACCGCAAAGTGTGACCGATTTGGCGCGGAACGAGATCCGAAGGCGTTACTCCGCGCGTCAACGGGACAATCTGCACCGTCCTCTACGGAACTTGACGAATACCAGCGTTCGTTGGCTCTGTAAAAATAGAATATGCACGCGTATCGGTTCAACGTATCGAAAACACGGTAGGAGTCGCGGCCGCGCGTACGAATAGGACAGAAGGCTTGCGGACGCGTTGGTTTACGAGGAGCTGGCGGAAAGGAAGTACGAGGAGCGACGAGAAGGAGCGAACAAGAGGAGGAAGACGAATCGACCGGGAGCAAGTGGAATTAGACACGGAGCGTTGGTTCTCTTTCTTTCATTTGCACGTGTACCGCACCGCGATAAATTCTAGTACCGTCTTCTCACGCAACGCGTGTCTGGTTATTCGCACCCGGCGAACACTACGAGCAAACTGAATGGGGAGAACATGCTTCGATACTCTTTTTCTCTTTGCGTTCTCCGTTCATTCCGTGGCTGTTCTTTATCGGTGCCTATTCGGCGAGCTATCGCCTCGGCTCGGCTCGGCTCGTCTCGTCTCGTCTCGTCTCGTCTCGTCTCGACTCGACTCTCTAGGCACAGATCATTCTTCTCTCTCGATTTACAAGTCCGGAGCGGTTGGACCAATCGGCAACGAGGATCGCGGGGAATAGGACGCGGTGGTAAATGCACGATACACTGCAGTCTAGATTCGCGCATTCCTGGCGGTTGCCGCCGCGCCGCTGGCTACCAAGTTGGACGGTCGGCGTAGCGACGCCACCGTCCGCTGTTGCCATCGCGGACGCGCGGGTACACGCTCGTGTCGCGTTTCGAGAGAGGCAGGAGCGTGTCTCTTTTTGTCCGGCTCCCTTCTCTCGTGGCCTACATTCGTGCACGCCACGCGTTCTATCTTCGAACGCATCCTACGAAATGATTCTTCTCGTCCTACTACATATTCGCCTCGCTCGTCGAACCCGCGCGGTCTCTCGCTTTCTCCCTTCGTGTGTATTTTTCGCTCCACATCGCGGTCGTTCCACGGTTTCGCCGGGGAATGTAAACTCGAACGCGAGGAGACTGTCCGATCCGCGATCGAGATCCGCCTCGCAACCTCTCTTTCTTGCTCCTCTTCTTGGAATAAATTTACGTAGGGCGGTGCACGCGTACGGCAAAAGCAACTTTTTTATCCCGTTCGGTTTCTAGGTCAAACCAGAATTCGTCGTTCGAGCCGACCGATGGAACCGGGAGAGAAACGTTTCGCGCAAGCTCGTCGTGTTATGCCGCGTTCCCACGAGACCAATGCGCAACACATTCGACGTCCGCCAACGATTCTTTCGCTTAGCTTCGAAACGTCCAGTTATTACCTTACCAGCACAAGTCTGTACACGATTACGATCCTAACCGAAATTATAGCCGTGGATGACCGGCGAAATTTGGCAGAAATACGCGTACAATTTGGAAAAATCGTTTCGTGTCGATATCGCGACTGGGCAAACAAGTGTATCGGAATTGTATCGAGTTCGAGAATCGTCCCCTCGTTATCGTCGTTTCCGGGAAAGCTCGGCCGACTCGGCGACGATGGCGACACGATTACGTCGTTCTTTCCGTGTTTCCTCTTTTACTGCGTCTCGTTACGGCCCCGCTTGTTTTGAAAGCTAGAGTGCCGCGGGCGATAAAGACCAACGTAATGAGATATAATGCTAGTCTCGAGTGGCGACAAATACAACCATTGCCTGGTTTATTGTACAAATAAAATTACGCGCGCAGATACTCGTGTCAAGGATATGCGCGCTGTACGAGATCTCGACGGGCCACAGTGAGGGGGAAGGGGGGTAAAAAGCTAAAAAAGGTGGTGAAACTTAAATTTTCGGGTGTCGTAGCGGACTAAGAAACGAAAGAACGAAAATAAACCCACGGCGTCGTAATGTTTCGCTGCCTTCCTCGACGCCCCCCTGCACCCACGTCCTCTGGAAAACAAAGCTCGATCGAA